TGACCCCTCCCAGCCAGCCACACTCCTGACCAGCCTCGCTCCCTGCCAGCTGGTTCCCCCCTACCCAGCCCTGCTCCCCCTGACCCTCTTGTAGCCAGCCCCGCTCCCCTCCCGGCCGGTCCCGTCTCTCCCCACCCCCATCCCGATCTGAGATCAAGTGTGTCCGGTATTTTTTTGAAATCATTTGGTAACCCTAAGTACTGAGTCTCTTCTCTAGAGAATATGGGAGAGCTGCATGTGGAGGGTTCTCTTACACAGAAACAATCTGGCACTTGGTAAACCACATTTTAAAGAAATATTTTTCTGTTAATCAGCAGCACAAATCTAAACTAACTTCACAAAATAGTCATTTTAGATAGTAGTATAGTACATAGATGCATCCTATATAACTTTCATTTCAGGTTATCTTATCTGAAAATTTGATTTATTTAATTATAAAAACCTCATTATCATAAATGTTTCTATTATTCCTTCATTATAATAAGAGGAAACTTAACTCTTCTCTAAAATTAGAGACCAGTTTGGTGCATCACGTTTACTGCAAATTAATCATCCAGACAATTTCATTTTGAAATGTAGTCCTTAAGAATATATTAGAAAGTTAGAAATAGCATTCTTTGTCTAAAATCTGTATTTTGTATTAAAAAATCTGAATACATTTCACTTATATTGAATGGAAATTGAAAAGTAATTTTTATAACTTCACTTTTTCTAACCTTATGAAATATATGTAACATGTATGAAAACAAGAAATATCAAATATGCAATTAACCTAACCACCATTCAAGAAACTGTTTGCATATGACTGAGAATATGGTCTCTTTATTTACTTTTACATTGCTTGTTAAATGTCTTGTTCAGCCTTACATAAAATACATGCAATGTACAGATTATGCTATATTCAGAGACAATAAATAGAATAAAATTAGGATTATGCAATTCCCTATTGATCTGGTTACGTATGTTCCTAATCACCATAGTCTTTAAATGCTTCAGTCATACATGAATTGTATATTAACAATGTCCCAGTGAGTAGGAAGTACTTCCCTATTTCACAGGTACTAAGGCACAGTGCAGAATAAATGACTTGCACAGGTTCATACTGAAAGTCTGCGGCTGAGCCAGGAGCTGAATCAGGGTCCTTTAGGATCAAGTCCAATGCCTTAGTCATTTCTTTATATTCCCAGGGTATGTCTTTGAAATAACTGTGTCTACACAGCAGGCAGTTATTTCAAAATAATGTTGAAATACTGACAAGCTGGAGGACTTCTTACTCCAACTCCTGTAACCCTTATTGTACAAGGAGTAAGGAAAGTCAGAGGAAGAGAAAGGTAGGAACGAAAGTGACCTTGCTAGGTCATCTAGTCCAATATCCTGCACTCAGGCAGGACTAAGTAATATTTAGACCAATGTTTCTCATCCTAGAAGTTGGGAACAAGTTTGAGGGTGTAGAGTGGTTCATAAGTGAAGGTAAGCAAAAATATTTGTGTGCAAGATCAAACTTTATTTTTACATAGAAACAAATGAAGAGGGTTAGGGTTAGAGATATAATACTTCAGCTGAGGTCTTATCAGTGCTGAGTACTGTGACATAATTACTTCTTGACACAGCCTATGTTTTTAGTAAGAAATGTCTCTGCTAACAAAAAATATAGGAACTGAAATTACCCAATATGTTTACATAGGTTTGAAATATTAGTTTATTAATGCTGGTGGACCAGTAGTCATAATTTACTTAAGGATATTTTAAATAGTGTGTTTCAAAGTACTTAAATCTTAGGAAAGGGGGCTCTCCTTATTTTTAAGTCCACAAAAAAGTTGAGAAGAGGTTGATCTGGACAAGTTTTTGTTTAACTTGTTCTTAAATACCCCAGTGATGGTGATTCCACAACCTCCTATGTAACTTTTTCCAGAATTTAGCTATCCTTACAGTAAGGCAATTGTTTCTAATGTGTAACCTACATCTTTCTTTCTGAAATAAAACTCTTTACTTTGTGTCCTGTCCTTAGTGAATAAGGAGGACCCTCCTCTGTATAGTAATCTTTTATAGTAGTTGAAAATGGTTATCATGTTCTTGTTTAGTCTTCTTTTCTCCATACTAAACAAAATCCAATTTTTTTTCAATCTTTTCTTCAAAGCCATGTTTTTTAGACTTTTAATTATTTTTGTGGTTTTCCTCTGGGCTTTTTCTAATTTTTCCGTATCTATCTTGAAGCATGGTGCCCAGAACTGGATATAATACTTCAGTTGAGGTCTTATCCGTGCCAAGTACTGTGACAGAATTACTTCTTATTTTGCTTATAGCAAGCAATAATACACCCCAGAATAATGTTTGTGTTTTTTAATTGCAGTTTTACATTCTCACATTTAGTTGGTGATTCACAGATCGTTTTCTACAGTACTCCTTTCTAAGCAATCATTTCCCATTTTGGTTTTGCGCAATTGATTAGTCCTTCCTAGGTGTACAGGTTGTACCTCTCTAAACTGGGACTCTGATCCAGCAACATGCCTGGTCCAGTAGGACCATAGATGTACCTGGACCAGAGAGGCCCAGGGCAGGGAGGCCAGTGGTGGGCAGAGGACTCAGGCAACTCTGGGAGTACAGCGCCAGAGGGCTCAGGCGGCCCGGGGAATCCCATGATGTGTCTGGGAGCCTTGCAGCAGGGGGCTCTGAAGGCATAAGTAGCCCCACAGCAAGGGGTCCACCAGTGGTGCAGCTAGGAGTCCCATGGGAGGGGCTCAGGAGCTCAGCTACTTAGGGGGAACTTAGGGTTCTAATGGTATAATATTACTGCTGGGTGGGTTCTTGAGTGGTCTAGGGGCTAGGGCATTGGTGTGGGGACCCCAGGGTTGTGGGTTTGAGCCCCGCCCACCTGGGGAGCATAACTGTTACCACGGCCAGCACTAGGTGCCCCATTAGAAAGGGTAAATAAGGGACACCCTGAAGGGTGGTGGAGGTGGGGTAGATTCTTTGTATGAACCACTGGCAGTACAGCCAGGAGTGTGGCAGGCACTCAGGGAGCATCATAGCTGGGAGTCCCAGCAATGAGAGGTCTAGTCAGGGCCAGCAGCACAGCTGGCTGAGGGCAATGGAGGCTGGCTGGGTCTAGAAACAGAGCCTGCAGTTGTCTTGGAGGCGGATGACAGAGAACCTTCCCTGGTTGAGAAAATTCCCTTGTTCAGAACCAGTCAGGTCCCAAGGATGCCAGACCATGGAGGTTCAACCTGTAGTACTTTGCATTTTCCTCATTGAATTTCATCCCATCTACATCAGATCATTTCTCAAGTTTGTCAAGATCACTTTGCATTCCCATGCCATCCTCCAAAGCACTTGTATGCCTCCTACCCTGGCATCATCTGCAAACCTTCAAAGTATACTCTTTATGTCATCCTAATAATTTGTGACATTATTGAGTGGAAGTGGACCTGTAACAGATACCTGTGGGGCCCCATAAGACATGCCTTTCCAGCTTGATTGTGAGCCGTTGATAACTACTCCTGAGTATGCTTTTCCAGTCGTCTAGACTTGCTTTCACTTTCAAAAGAAGATATGCAAATTTGGTGGTAATTTGCATATCTTGTTCTGATCACTTTTTCAAAAGAGTTTTTTTCGAAAAAGCAAGCAGTTTAGATGCTGTTCTTTCAAAAAAAACACACCCTTTTTTCAAAAGAACCTGTAAACCTCAATTTTTGAGGAAGAAGGTTCTTTGGAAAAAAGTTTTTTTTTTTTTTTAAAGAATCGCGTCTAAATTGCTTGCTTTTTTGAAAAAAACTCTTTCAAAAAAGTGATCGGAAGTTTCACTTTCAAAAGAAGATATGCAAATTACCGTTGAATTTGCATATCTTCTTTTGAAAGTGAAAGCAAGTCTAGACGTACCCTTACATTATATTAGGTTATATTAAGTTCATGTATCACGCCCCCTTTTTTATTTTTGAGAAATCCTCATGCCCTCCCCATACCGAAAAACAAAAATAGCATCAAAACTTAGGGAGGGAGATTGACAGGCGGGGGTGTGGGGGAATGGGTCACCTTACGCCCGCCCCCCTGGAATTTCTTCATGCCCCCCCAGTTTAGGAACCCATGATCCCATATTTTTCTAATTTGTTTGAGACAGTCATGTGAAAGAGTAACAAAAATAGTGTCAATTAATTGCATTTAACACATGCAATTAACTGAAAACAAAATTAACACATTAGTCACGTACCTCTGAGTGGGGAGGGAGGCAGCTGCACCTCTGGAGTTCTGCGGGAGGAAACGGGCCTGAAGCCCCACTACAGAGCTGTGAGGGCAGCAACAGCAGCAAGGAGCCTGAAACCCTAACCTGGAGATCCATGGACAGTGATGACCTGGGGAGCCCTAAGGAAGGCTGAAGCCCAGAGTCCCAAGCAGAGCTGAAGCCTGGGGTCTTATGTCCCAGGCCTCCCACTCTGAGTGGGGCTGAAGCCATGAACCAATGAGTGCTGAAGGTAGGGGGGATCCCAATATTTTTTTGAAGTCTAAATGAGTTGTCAGCACAAAAAAATTGAGAAACACTGTTGTAGAGAATAGGGGCCCCGGCCCTCCAACAGAGGGACAACTGCCCTGGGGCCCAGTGATTTAAA